CGATATAATATGCAATGCATATAGTTATGAAACAAACTTAATTTGATTTACCGCAATGGGTAATGAAACAGATTGATAGACGGATTGACTGATAAATACATTATAAATGCACAGTTCAAACTATTAGGACTTGACAATTTGCTCAGAGGTGTTTGTTATACTTCTGTGTTGATATCTCTATCACGTCGGTCGGCAGATAATTTTGATTTATTTATTTTCCGTTTCAATTGTCGCGGTAGTTGCATGTGCATGAATTATGCGTAAATAATACAATACAAATTATTATTAAATTATACGTTGTATGCATACGACTGACAATAGGTAACGGCCGCGTATTTGTGAGACGAGGCGATCCGTGATTTATCCATCTAGGAACTAAACAAGCCAACTACTGGCTGTTCTTTTTTTTTTCACTGTGGTTTCAATAGTGACATTTATAACAGAATTTACCTACACTGAAATTGTATTATATACATTTCGATGGAATAAATTGATTTCATACTGTGGAGCAACTATAGCCGACTGAAGTAGACATAGAATTGTATACCTAATAAGTAATAACTTACGAGACCGTCAAGACCGCGGACGATCGACGCCAATAAGTTAAATATTTACCTATTGATTGTTTTCCTTCTCGTGTTCAGGGTTCAAACGACAACTTACTGTACTACGCGAAAACTCCTACAACTTTCGTCCGTACTGTCCACGAGTGCTAAATTTAAATAGAGATTATCGTAAGTGGCTGCATCCCATTTAAGATTCAAATAGTACTTTTTTGAGAGTACCAAAGATGGAGTTTAAATTTTACTCTAGCTTAATCATTTTAAAATTTCACATATTACTAAAAAATAATTGTAAAATATTTCGAAGAGTGGAAGTTTTGTAAACATTAATTTATGAAGATGATACACTATTGGTGAGTTTTTGAAAATTTTTTTTTGGGGGGAAGGGGGGAGATTTATGTTACTGTTAGAGACCACGGCAAAAATCGTATTACAATTTATGTAACTGTTGTTAGACTTTAATGGTAAAGAGGTGCTACTTCATTGTGTGCCTAAGGTGCCTCCATATTCATAAAAACGTCACTTTCCGCGAGTCCAACACTCAGGATAATAGATAGCTACTATAATAATGTACATATTATATCCATACTACTCCATATTATGCTTAATAGAAACAACACGGAATTATATATTATTATGTTATAGCGTGTTCGTCCGGCTCCTTTGTTCGTCGAGTATTCGTGTTTGTTTTTTTTTTAACTTTCTTATTTCAGCATGTTCTTACATTTACTATTTGTAACAACTAATAAGTACTTCTTTTTATCCTATAATATATACAGTGTGATTATATTTATGTAATATATTATATATTATATTATTAACAGTCTCTATTTCGAAAATGATAACAGTTTTTCAAAATATATTTTTTTCACATACTTACTTCTCAGTTCAATTAATTTTTTGTATTTGCAATATACAATAGAACCCATTATTAATTTTGAGCGGATAACTGAATGCATTTAAAAAAAAAGAAAAATGCACCATTTATCAACTACGAAAGAATTTTCTTGTAAAAAGTTTGATTAATATTAGACACTTCTAAGTAATTTTTCATATAATTAGGGAGGGGAGATAAGAATATTTGTAAAAATATAATAAAAACAATTGTTTAGTAATAATGATTACCAAAAGTTGGCCATCTTCTAAAAATCGTTTTATCGTACGATTATTTTTCAGTGAGTTCAAATTTAAAACATACATTACAGTTACATATAATTCAGTCAATGGTACACTAAACACCTAAAACTGTTCAGAAAAGAAGTCACCATCTTGATAGCTTTTTAAATTTTAGTTTCAGAAACATATAATATGTTTCTGTGAATTTGGAAAATAACAGAATTTGATTTTTACATTTTAAATATCAAATTTTGATGAACTTAAATGTATTTTAGTTATGATGGGCCTAGYGGAGTGGAATTATATAGGGATGACTTCGTTTATCAATGCTTTAAAAAAGATACAACAAAATGAATTCCTAGGTATATAAACTCAATTTTTATGTACCTATTTTAATTCTCAGAAAAGAGAAATAGAAAATGTATGTCATTCAAAAAAGTAAAGCCCTAAATAATCATGGCATAAATAGTAGAAAAATCTATCATCTAAAAAATCTTTTTGTTTTACAATAATATTTTCAAAAATATCAAAACTTTTTGAAATAATGTTTAAGTGTTTTCTTTAAAAATTAAAATTACAATCCTTTTGTACTTGTGAAACTGAAACAAAAATAATTATTCATTGACCGTATAAGCGTTTGACAGTTGATATTAGATTATTATCGTGAGGTGATTCTTGAAGATATAACCTTCATTCTCTAAATTGTTGTCACRGATAATTTTTTTACACGTTTATTAATGGATATTTAAAAAAAAAAATGCGCGCGTTGTATAATTGTCATGGATATAGGTTACCATAAAAACCGTATTAGATTTCGAACGGAGATATTTTTTAATAAACCAACAATGACACAAATTACATAATTATAATAAAGGTAGTGAGRTACTGAGATGAGCTCTTCGTATCACATCACATTTTTTTTCTCTGAAAATTCGTTGCGGACAAGTGCACACTTGTATATTTGAAGGCATTATTATATTTATTTATTTCATGATAATTATTAAAATTTGCACAATAAATAATAAATTAGATAACCTACTTTTAGTTCGATATCCCTCAAATTTGTGCAATAAATATGAATATTTTTCATCAATTAGGTATATACATTTTTAACATATTTCAATGTCTTTTGGTTTCAGAWTTTTTTATAATGCTTATTTGATGAAAAATTGTCACCTTGACAACGGTGCATAATTTAGAAATAAACACAATCTAAATTAGTCTCGCACTTTAAAATTTTTTCGTTATWTTAAATTTTAATTGAGAATAAAATTATTAATAATTGTTACAGAGATTTATTTTGAATCGTTTTTTTTTTAGATTCAGGGACAGTGCATTTTTTCTTCTTACATAAATAATTATAGCTAAATAATAAATTTTGACCAAATATTGAAATTATTATTATTTTATTATTTAATGATGAATAATAATTAAAATGTCTTAGGTACGTTTATATAAAATAAAAAAATGCACGTTATTTGGGTATACGTTACCATTCATTAGAACGGTATACGTGACTATTAGCTATGTATAGCATGATCGTGATCTCGAGTATATTATTTGAGTTTGGTCGGCGATTTCATACATTTTGAAGCGATTACATCGTCAGTGCTAGACAAATAGCTATTATTATGCCATTAGTCGGTTTTGTTCGCTGTCGTTCAATCAGGACTACGATAGAGTGTTACTCTATTTGTCGTTTTATATAACACCGTTCAGTTTAATTATCTCCATTTTTGATATGCGTTGTTATGATGATGCGAATTACCTTGTATTGTTATCCAGATAGGTTAGTATTGTAGTACTCTATTAAATCCTTAACAAATAAGACAGAACTTAGTCGTCAATTAAAATTAGAGAAATTCTCGCGGATGATAATACCGTTTGTTAAAAGCGATATGCGTATTATGTAAACTATTCATATTAAAATGATAGTCTTTAGAAATCTGTATTTGCTGAGATATCCCTTCAATCGATTTGATTTCGTCCAGTGCACTGTTCACAAACTTCCAAACAATGCCATATTCTATTCATAACTATATATATTGGCTCAAACCGTTAGAAAACCATACACATATTATAGTGCGAGTGAATAAAAGAATGGTAGTTAATAATTTAATTATAATTTCAACTGGAGTAGTGAATTGATAACAATATTAATAGAGATCTTGGTGGCAAAGTAAAGTAATTTAATTTACTTACAAATACAATAATTAWAATATCTGGAAGTTGTGTACGTGTACTTATTTGAAAAGTACAAAACTATGTTATGAAAACTATAAAGCAGAGATTTTTATCTAGACAACGGAAAAAAATTCAAATCTATACCTATATTATTTATTACTTAAGGTCTTAAAACTACTGTTTTTATATTTTACTCATTTCGTTTTGTATTCGTTAATTTAGTCGAAACTTGAAAAACATAATATTTCAGTGATTTTAACATGAAAATATTAACTTTAGAATGAAACTTTACGTAATAATGTATCAGAAAAAGTAAAACAAAAGTTGACAGACGTTGTATGTTTGTATATATGAAAAACATAATAAAATAATGCATCATCGGCTACGAAATAAAAGTTATACGTGAAAAAGTGAAGTTTAATAAAAACAAAAGTAAACAATACCGTTTTTTATGTGGATAACACATATTTTAACAATGATATTTATTAGTAATCGCATAGGTTATAGATGTATAATTAAATAATATAAATCGTCAAAATGTCATTACATTGATCAGTTTTATAATTTCAAATTATTYGTAATGTACTAACCTACCTGCACGATATGAACATAATAATTTGCACACACGTAATATCTATAAATATTAAGAGCGATACCTAGTAAAATGTTTTGAATTTCAGTTGTGAATTGTATGYTATAAAACTAGGTTATTCATTTAAACAATTTAAAATATGGAAGTTTAATAAATATTTTATTTCCGCAACTTATAACTCGCCAATCTGGTATGAGTGAACATCGCTTCAACTGTAGAATTTTCGGTGATTCAAACTAGGTGATTCAAATTCGTCAACAAACAATATAAAAATTATTTTACCTATTTACTAACTTAACTTATTCAGTATTTATAGTTCATWGTTAATACTTGTTCGTTCAAACARTATTTTATATGGACAAACACTCGCCCACTCGGTGTATAACTATGTATAAATATTAACTATCCACCCAAACAGAACACGTTTTGGTTCGATTTGACTAATCGTTATGCAGCGTAAGCTGTATTCCTATTTTCGTCTTCCACCTAAGTATTACTAYTCAATATTATTATCATTCTTATTGACGACACATTTTGTTCAACAGGTGTTAGGTGGCACGAGCGTGATGAATGGAATGATGTACATGCGGGGCAGCCGGCACGACTTTGACGGCTGGGCCAAGATGGGAAATCCGGGTTGGAGCTACCAGGATGTGTTGCCGTACTTCCTCAAGTCCGAGGACAACCACCARGCGACCATCATGGACGCTGGTTACCACGGGGTCGGCGGCCCTATGCCGGTTGGCCAATTTCCATATCATCCACCGCTTTCGCACGCCATCCTGCAGGCAGGTCTTGAGCTTGGCTACCAGGTGCGTGACCTGAATGGAGCCCTGCACACGGGTTTCGCAATCGCGCAGACCACGTCCAAGAACGGATCACGTTATAGCATGGCCAGAGCTTTCCTACGACCAGCCAAGGACCGGTCCAACTTGCATGTAATGCTCAACGCCACCGTAACCCGGGTGCTCATCGACCCCCAAAAAAAGGCGGCATACGGAGTGGAGGTATACAACGGGGCGGACGGACGGACAATTAAAATCGGTGCACGTCAAGAAGTGATCGTATCAGGGGGCGCGGTTGCCTCACCACAGTTACTGCTGCTGTCGGGCGTCGGACCCAAAGAGGATCTACGTGCCGTCGGCGTGCCGGTCGTGCACGATCTGCCTGGAGTCGGACGGAACCTGCACAATCACGTGGCGTTCTTCGTCAACTTCCGCATAAACGACACGTCAACAACACCCCTGAACTGGGCCACGGCCATGGAATATCTGCTGTTCCGAGACGGGCTCATGTCCGGTACCGGCATATCCGAGGTGACCGCCGTGCTCCCGTCTAAGTACGTCAACCCCGCCGATGACAACCCTGACCTGCAATTCTTCTTCGGTGGTTACCTAGCCGATTGTGCCAAGACCGGGCAGGTGGGCGAAAAGTCTGGTAGCGGTGACGGTGACGGCCGGCGAACCATCAACATGATACCTGCAGTGTTGCACCCCAAGAGCCGCGGCCAGCTCAAGCTCAAGTCATCTGACCCGCTCGCACCCCCAGCCATCTACGCCCGATACTTGAGCCACCCTGATGATGTGGCCGTGCTTGTGGAAGGCATCAAGATCGCGATTAGGTTGTCCGAGACACCCGCGCTCCGTAAATATGGCATGGAACTGGACCGGACGCCGGCGATGGGCTGCGAGGACCTTGAGTTCGGGTGCGACGCGTACTGGGAATGTGCAGTTCGTCGAAATACAGGACCTGAGAACCACCAGGCCGGAAGTTGTAGGATGGGCCCACCCAGTGACCCAGGCGCCGTCGTCGACTCAGAGCTCCGCGTACACGGCGTCGATCGGCTACGAGTGGTCGACGCATCCGTCATGCCGGCCGTCACTTCCGGAAACACCAACGCTCCAGTAGTGATGATCGCCGAAAAGGCTTCCGATCTTATCAAGGCCCGGTGGATTGGCCGAAAGCCGTGGAATAAGTGGTAAGACGACTGTGGCAGCCAAGCGGCGACGTCCTAATTTAATAATTTTGTAACTCTCGGTGTTAGAATCGTTAGAAACTGCAAAACTTATACACTAGTTAACATATAGATATGAACGCTGAAAACACATACACTTGCAATTATTTTCGTTCCTGTAGTATAAGCTAAAATATATGTATTGTAAAACACATCCAACATAATAAGTAAGACAAAATTTATTACCGATGTTATATAATAGATATAATATTAAAATAACCCCTCTATGCAACATGATGTATCGAAAGTATATCGCAGTGCAAAGTAAACTACGGCTATTACTGAATAAATTGATGAACCATAGTTATTCTATATAATTCTATATAATAACATTCTAATTCTATGAATATTCACAGTGACAACAAATTAAAATATTGTCAACGAAWATTATTGATCAYAATTTTGATTACAAAATTCAATTTAATATCGAATTAAATTCGAATATATATTTTTATTTCTGCATATTGCAAAATTTTGAACATGATTATTGTAAAACTAAACCTGGCAGTCCAAATCGGGGTACGTCAAAATATTTTATGCTTTTACAGCTCAGCACCCCCCATTAAAAATTAAGCACYTTTTAAAATAACAAAAAAAATATATTATACACCAATAATATTATACAGTAAATGAGTAAAACAATAATATATTTATTATGTATACATTCATTTCGTACCGTACCGCACCATATCACTCATTGCACACTTTGTCGTTATGACAATGTATATTATACTGCTTTAGATCACTATTATAGTGTGCAACTCATCAAAAATCTCTACTATATCACTATATTATGTTTTATACCACAATATATATTATATATACCACTCGCACGCACTATCATATCAACGGAGACGTCAATATCACTCTGCAATATACGAGTACTCATCCGGTT